CGAAATGGACACTGTGCGTGTTGGATCTTGTACAATATAAACACGAAAACAAATATCTTCCTTGGTGAATTCGAGTGGTCAACCCTACAGCTTGGAACAGCCTGTGAGGTCCGGTGGTAACCTGAAACGGTAATGGGAGACCCTCGTGGATCAACGGAACGATCCAGTAAGGTTGAGGAAGGTTCCTGGAACAAAGAAAGACAAGTTTGAAGGGCGCCGGAGTGTTTTTCGGCGTATCCCCTCCGACGATCAAGTCAGTTTTTTGAGAGAGAGGAAGAAGAAAACACTGAGTATAATTTGTAGCAAAGGTTTTTCGTTGCATCCCGTCTTGCCTTTTGCGAGGAGTATTTATACCTTAAAAACTCATAATTGCTGTTAGTGTGGTCAGTAGGTGATCATTAGGTACAGGCAACGTGTGCACGGCTTCCTATGAGGAATGTCTTCTCTTTTAACTGCTCGGGATCCCGAGCAACCAAGGCTATGTCATCGGCCTGCCGACTGTTCAATGAGCTCCTCTCGGGGAGGATGTAATAAATGTCCAGCCTTAGAGACATTTATTACCTTTCACTTCTGAAACTTTACCGCATTAAATGCTGTCTCATCAAGGGAATGATGTAATTAAATGCTTGCTTTCCCAAGTCGTGTGTCAACAAGGGCATCCGGTCTTTCTGTCTCTGATGTGACATAATATGCCACGCGTCCATTCCCCATTGACTGTGTCCCCTGCCTTCTTGAGCCTTTTGACACCAATTGTGTAATACGAGGTCATGATGGCTAACCTAGCCTAGCCTAGACTAGTGACCTGTACATCGATAGCTCTACGGGAGCAGAGAATGCCATCCTGGACGGTATTCCTCGGAACTGAGAAGGAGGTACACATAAAGACCAATGTACCATATCCCCCCGACCGAGGGGTACGTGTCGGTACATAAACGTACTGGATGTCATTGATCCCTACGACCAGTACCACGGGGGAGAGGGACTTGTGAACCGATGGGTACGTGTCGTGATCACAATAACAAGAATTTAGTGACACCGAAGACACGTGTCTTCATCTTGGAGTATTTTGGAAATGTTCCATCAACTGCCCCTCAGCCTTCGATCTTCTGACACCGAGGACACACGTCGTAAGGAGATGAAGGGTTCTGCAACAACCTCAACCGCTTCATCATTGCCTCTAGCCGCTTTCCCCTGCTTAGGACGTCGTGCGCATTAAATACGCCTTTTCGTGCTTCGCGCAAAATGATGGGATAGGTGCTATATATAATTGGGCTCCCTCTCTTCTTTTCGTATTTCGTCATTCCGAACTTTCTCCAAAGAGCCCTTGCTGAAACTTCGCCGGAGATCCATTTCCTTCCGTTGTCAATCTGCCCAACCATTTCACCGGAGTTTTTAAAGTCAGCAAACCCATCCTTGCTTCTGAACATTCTGGAAGGAGTCGATTCAAGTTTTTCAAAAAAAAATTCTTTTTACATTCTTGTGAGTCCCAGTATCTTCCCTCTCTTTGCCCTTCTGTCTCTTTTGGTTCTCCGATAACGGGAGGTATTTTCTTGTTGCTATTCAGCAACCAATCCTCAGGAAGCCTCATTGGGGATCTTCGTGGAAAAGACCCCCTCCATTTTTTATCACTTTTTGGAGATGCCTCGTCGTCGCCCTACCCCCGAGAATCCTCAAGTCAGTTCTTCGAGGCCAGGGAAGTATAAAGTAAAAGGTGGTGAGCAAATTAATAGATTTAGGGTTAAGTACAGCATTCTCCCGAATGTAGACATAGAGGATTATAACCCGGCTGTGTACCCTCGGTACCGAGGATGCAATGCCCTTTTATACCAAAGCCATCATAGAAGGCGGAATTAGATTTTCTTTGCCCCCTCTACTTCTCCAGTTCCTTTCTCATTTCCACCTCTTCCTCGGGTAGTGTTGCCTTAATGTCTTTAGGATAATTATGGGGGTCCTAGAGTTCAGTAGGCGTCTCAGGATAAATGTTGGGCTGAACGGTATCCTTTTTTGATATTCCCTCTTGAGAGTCATGCCTCAACAACACTTCTGTCTCAAAGCTAGGGACCCATCTATGTACCTCGTAACTCACCTTCCCGACTCGGACAAGGGGTACAAGGATGACCTACTTATCTTCAAGGGATCTTGACAGAGAGGTGTCGATCCCAAGTATAACGGCTTGTTATGTCCTTTGGAATGGAGAACGATAAGTACGTCGGTTCTTTCGGGTCTATTATTTTGTTCTTGAGCTTTTCTACGTGTTCATGACTCACTCCCCTCTTTTTTTTGTTTGTATACAGACATCTCCCCTCGGGAAACAGCTCCTCCACCTCGGTCGTTGGTGAACTTTGCGGACCTAGTCACTATTTGGAGATTTACTGGTGACGACGGGCTCGCGCCGGGCTGCCCACATCCTCCTGAATTACACTCCCGGATATAAAAATTTTTCACAGCTTCCCCAGCCTTTCGAGTCTTCGCGGTGGTCTGAACTCTTCGATCAGGCGGTGAGGCAAGAGATCAAGGAGAACTTGGAGGAAGACCCTGACCGGGCTTCGGAGGCAGAAGTAGAGGGTGAAGCTGAAGAGCTCGGGGTCAGAGAGGACTTGGTTCCTTCGCACGCCGAGGTGGGGACTTCGGGGAGAGATTCGTGGCCGGACTTCCAAATCCTACAATCTCTAGACGCCGAGGACGTCCTCAAGATAGCTATGTCCAGCACGCCCCGCATTGATCTAGGGTTCTTAAGGCAGAGGCAAGCCCTTGCTGTCGGGAGGGGACGAGGATCGACCGGTGGGGCCTCATCTGCAGGGACCAGCGCCACCCCATCCTCAAGAGTCGTCAGTCGGGGTTAAGTGCGTGACCGAGATCCTCAGGTAAAGGAGGAGAGGAGGGTCAAACATAGGCACGACGGCCTTGGCAGGGGATCCAGGGCCCCCTCCGCTCAGCAACAAAGTGGGAGATGCCGTGGGTTACCTCCTGCTCCTCAGCAACAACAGCAACAGCAGACTCCTCCCCTTCCGCAAACAGTGGAAGCCGCAGAGTGAAATCCTCGAGCCACTGATCACATGAACCGAGTGATCAAGGTCGACGACTCCATTTTGCAGGACCCCCATGTCGCCAATGCAGTGAGTGAGACGCTGCATTTCGAGGTCGACATGGTGGCTCACAGGGGGCGATCAACAAACGTGTTGTTTCGCTCTATCATCTAGAATTTCTTGGTGGTAAGTTCATCTTTGCTTCAGTCTTTTTTAGCCATTTTTTCCTTTTAGTGACATGCCCTTTCCTTTGCAGGCCACCCAACAGATTTCTATAATAGCGGCGCGGTATCATGGGGCTAGGATGGACCTTCAGCGGATTCGAGAGCAGAAGGAAGAAGCCGAGGGAGCCCTCGCTAGTGCTAAGGAAGACGTAGCTGTCAGGGATTTCACCCTCGCGGGGCAGGCTACTCAAATTGAGCAACTCTTCAAGGATGCCGAGTTGGCAAAGGTCGGCGCTGAAAAGCTAAGTGCTGCCCTTGCAGACGCTGAAAGGAGGATTACAGAGCAGACGTAGTGGAAAGCTGTTGGTTCAGAGGAAAGCTGTCTGGCTCTGACCTAGGTATTCCACAGAAATTTATGGGTATTCCACATTTCTATCCGATTTTTGCGGTTAACCATTCAGTAGGGTAGGATAGGAAATTATGACCAATTGAAAATTTGAACACCCCTAATTAATTATTCAATTTGTTGATTAAATCTACTATTGATGGCATGTTAATAGTGAATTTAAATATTAAATTTGGTCCACTACCAATCTACACTCCAAAAAAAATCACTTTTAGCATATAGATTTAAATTATAGCTATAAATATTGTCACTGAATGAATATGTTTAGTGGCAAAAAATTATTATTGCTATTGAAAATATGACATTAAAATTATTTAGTTGTCATACTTATTTATCACCACTAAAGATATATTATTAGTGGTGAAAAAATATTATTGCCACTTAAAATATGATAATAAATTTAATTAGTGACAATTTGAATGTTGCAGCAAAAATATATTACTAACTTGTCGCTAATTCAAAATATTTAGTGACAATAATTTACATTTAGTCACTAATATGTCTTATTTTAAGTCACAAATTTTTTTTTTGCCGCTGTTTATCAATTTTACAGAATAAGTGCCACCGGTAAAAAAAGAAATACAAACGATAATATCCCCACCTCTCACTCGGTCACTTGTAAACGGGTGTTCTCTCTCTCTCTCTCGCGCGCGCGCGCGCGATCTGATGCTTAAATTCAGCAAGTTCTTCTAGTAATCATACCTGTCGAGCTTCAACATCAATTCTCTATACCAGATTTGAGCACCAACTCCTTGTATTCAACATCAATTTCTCAATCTGCCATGGACGACTACTAATATGCCATGGATAATCTCTCCTAATCCATCGGCTAGGGCACTGATCTTCGTCTTCCAGTCGATTCTCCAGAGATTTGTTCCAATCCCTCAGAGATACAGGTGAGATCTCGACTCAATGATTAGTGATTGCGATTATTTATCTTGATTGAACAATGTTCGAATGTGCTTGAGTTTTGTTATTGATTATCAATTCAATGCAACTATTTTCTTTTATGTTATCTTATCTATTTTCTTTTATGTTGATATATCAAAGTGCACAATTTGGAGTTATTATTAATTTTAAAATTTCTTCAGCTCTGAAGATGCAAGGGCATGAGCTGTGTAAAGGTCTGAAAGATTTTGTTAGTAGCTGTGGAGTGCCTTGTTAGGGAGTTAGTGACTGAAACATTGTAGAACTGTTGTTCTTTTTTGGTTGTTGGTGATGATGACAAGCAGCTTGTGTTAGCTTTGCAAATTAACTTGATCATGGAGCTCTTTTGCTAATTCAGTACATTATCATAGGCTCGCCCTATCTATTCTGGCTGTTCCTTGATTGTGTGTGTTAGGGTAACCATTCTTTGAATATTTGTCTGGCATATGCTTCTCTCTTTCTTTCTAATAAAGTGCCATGTTGCTTATTGCAGTTCCTGTTGGAGTTATAGCTTCTTCTAAGAAGGTGAAGAGGCTAACCAAGGATGCAGTATTAGTAGTGGCTGCACTCGGGGAATATTCTCTTCTGGTAAGCATTCGTACTATTGAAAGCTTCAGTTTTCTTTTGTGACCTCTACTCCCTGCTTTTTAGCATTGCAACTTACATTTCCTGTCAAATATTGACATGGTTTTTATCCATCCCCATTTCTTCGCGTATTCTGTACTCCTCCTAGTTGCTCACAGGAAAAGATAAGCACAAATCTCTGATGTTTACAACTGCAGGTTGTAAGTTTAGATGGGAAGAATGTGAAGCGGCTTCATCCTCTTCCATTCACTGCAGTCAGGGATCCAGAGGTATTTTTTTTCTGCGAATGAAATTTGATCTTTTGAACTCTCTAGTGTCATTCATTGAAAATGTTTTGCATCTAATTGGTGGAGCATAGTTATGCATTGTTTTGATAGAAAATCTACCAGAGGATCATTCTGTGGAGAACATTCAGCATATATTTGATGAAGCTGGGAGGTATGTTATTCTCTCATTTGCTCATTTATGTTCTCTTTGATTTTGCCCTCCTGTGTTTTCTAACCATCATACATTGGTTAAAACTCACTGAGTAGTTCCATCTCCATGGTAAATACCAAAGTGATGCAAGTTTTTTAGCCGAGGCCATGCTGATCCTGGGCTCCCAGTTTCCTGTCTGAGCCCACTGCTCGAGATTGAGTCTAAGGACCAAGCAGTAGATGTGGTGAGCTGGGTAAATTAGGTTTGGTTATTCCCATCTGTACTACTTTCATGGCATGCAACGTCCATAATTTGTTTATTATTAAGATGTTAGTCTTGACATGTGAAATAGACATCTTACATGTCATGCATTGAAAACCTGTCGAAAACCTGTCTATACAATGTGCTATGATCATGGGGTTCTAGGGATGTTGATACCCTTTTGCAGACATAATTTCCCATATCTATATGGTAAAAGATGAAAGAATTAAAGTTTGTTCGTCTTTTTTGCATTATATTATTTTTAGGTGCCTCTGCAATGAGGGTGCAGTGGATTAGTTTGCTTAAAGTTTGAGTTGTAAGGAAATTGCTTGAAAGATTAAGTAATGATGCCCAATTAAATCACTTTTCTTTCCTTTCCTTTATTTTTTTAACTGGACAAAGCATTAGAAGTTTTCTGATTGCTTAGTGTCTGGTTCTCTGGTATGATGGATTGAAGGGTAAGGGTTGACATTGCTGGGGAAAGGAAGCAAATTGAATACACCTTTATTTTTTTGCTCATGCTTTCTGAGATCCACAAGAAGTTGAAGGCATTTGCCATGTTTATTTATAAATTTGGGGCTTGCACCCTTAGCTGATTTGGTAATGCGCAACCTACTTCCCCCTCCTCTCCCGGCCAAAAAGACCACCAATTAAATGGAAAAAAGAATAAAAAAGGAAGAAAGCTACTGGTACTCTGCTTCTACCACCGCAGAAGGCTTGCCCTTGGTCTGGTTCTAAATATTGTCTGGAGGTCATATGATCCTTATGATTTCAGAGGTTAATGCTGTTACAATGGTATTTATACTTTCTTCTGGTTTCTGTGTAGTTATATGCTCGTGTGGAGTATGAAACTGTGGAAGCAGCTGAGAAAGCTGTGAGTACAAATTACTGTCCTTGTTTCTAGTGAATGTTTTATATGAAATGTGAATGAAGACTGTTGAGGTTTCAGCACTTTAACTGATGTTAATTGGTTTCAGGTGGCTACTTTAAATGATGAGCAAGACTGGAGGTGTGGCATGTGGGTTAAACTTCTCGAGCGAATGGTATTTGGGCATCAGTTCTTTTTTCCTTCTTGGCAAATACAAGCATGAACATTAGTTGCTTCTTTACTTCTTCAGGGCAAGCCTAAACAGAGGAAAAATGGCTAGAGGACATCAGATTCTGAGAAGACCAGCAGTGTCCAAGCATCTGATCTAGCAGATGAGGAGAAACGCAATTTAAATGTGAACCATAAGGAGAGGCACGATGAAGAGGTATGTTTTACATCGTCTAGTGTGTTATTTTTTCAGGTAAATAAATATCAATGACACCCCAGTAGATTAAAGGAAGTGTGGAGACACTATATATTTTTCAAAAATATCACTGTAGTCCCTTATAGTTAATATCAATAACACCTACACTACCACTGCTGCTCATGCACACCTTCATACACGACCACACAAGCAATTGTATAGTTTCCCCTACAAGTTAATAATTGTCTGCATTGTGGGAGGAGTCAGTTATTTTGATCTGACTGTTCATGACTGATGGCTTGGTATCTTGGTAATTGGTGTGTGCAGTCTGAGTATTCTGCTCTGATTGCGTTGCACTTTTCTGGACTGATCTGGAATATTCAGTTTCTTGGTGTGCAGTCTGATTATTCTGCTGAATGTTTGTTGCTGCTAGAACTGTGTGTTGAAATGCTGTTGTAGCAGGAGCTGCCCTGGGAAGGCAGGAGATGAGGGATTAATGATGTAGCTGATGCTGTGAGCTGAGCTGAGAAAAGACAGTCCTTGGTTGCTTCATGCCAGGTGCTGCTTTTGCATTGATTGCTGGGCAGCTGTTGCTAAGCTGCTTATGCAGAGTTGCTGGACTGTTGCTGTCTTTATTTCTACTGAGTTGCTAAGTTGATGTAGCTGTTTGCTGATGCCTGCTGCTGAAGAGCTGTTGGCTGAAGTTGCAATGGTTTGATGGCAGAATCAACATACAGTTATTGTACAAAATTTTGAGGATAGCCTTTCTGTTTGTTGTATACAGTTTACTGCTTTTGTTGTTAAAGCAGTTACTGTTTTCCTTAATTTTTTTTGTAATTCTTTTTTCATGGAATAAAATTTTCTCTTTTTTTGCCAAAAAAAAAAAGATTTTAGGCTTTTCATTGTTTCAAATTTTATTGGTGATTTTAGGCTTTTCATGTTTCAAATTTTAGTGGTGATTTTAATTGTGGGTAAAATATAGACTTTTAGCCGTAATTAATTGTTGTCACTAAAGTCAGGTTTTAATCACACTTTTAGTGGTGATATAGTATATTTTAGTGGCAAAATTTAGTTTACTTGTTACAATAATTATGACGGCTAAAAATTTCACATTTAGTGAGATTTTTCATGGTGTGGCTAAAAAATTTATTTTTAGTGGCAATAATTAAATGTCATAGTTAAATGAATTAGTCACACACATATTGCCGTGGCCTAGCAACAATAAAAATATTGTCACTAAAGTATATAGTGACAATTTTTATGCATTTAGCCGTAATAATTTTCGCGACTAAAAGATCAATTTCTTGTAGTACTAAAGATAATACTAGAAAAGCTTCACAAATTATGTCACATGATTAATTACAAATAGTTGTATAGAACAAAAAAGCCTCGCAATAATTAATTTATCATGAAAATGACTTTAAGGCTAAAAGGACTTCACCGCTGATCATATGTAAATGAATAAAGTTGTATTTACCAAAGCTCTTATCAAATTCTGGTACCAAAATGATGACGTGGTGATGCATTCATTATCAGCAGATAATGAATGAGAGTATGAAATCTACTAATTCAACAATTTTTTTTTTTGATCAAATCTAATCCAACAATTGCTATAAATAATTAGTTAATGTCTGAAGACACTTTGTAATAGCACAACAAAATCAATCTAATTTTCAAATTAACTTTTAACGGTTCATAAAAATTGATTATGAACAATTCATAATAGAGAGATCAATAAACAGGCCATCTTGAGAAACCACAATATATTAAATAATTAGAGAAAAACAATTAGCATAGAGCTAATGACCAGACATTTAATCATATACATTTTCATCCACTTCACTGCATGAAACAGTAATCAAGCAAGGTTCAAACTATTAATATACAATAAGTGAAATATTGTCACCAGTTGTGACACAAAACTTGTGACAAACTATATAAAAACTATTCCTTAATACATTAATTGGGTCATTAATTATAATATTTTAAATACTTAAGGGTTATTTTTATAAATTTTAAATAAGTAAACAAACATTAAATATGAATTTCTTACATGAAAACGAGTCGAATGACTATAATATTTTGTGCAGGAATAAATATGTCATATTACACATTTAAAATGTACGAATAATATAATAGATGTGTAAAATTTGTATCACATCTATATAATAAGATAGGAAAGAAATTGAATTTTTATCCCCTATATATTTTTCCAAAAAAAAAAAACACATTATTCAATTCTATTACATGTTCAATTATTTAATATTTGATTAATTTATAATTTAATACAATTTTTATTTCATATATTGTCCATACACAATAATTTGCACGTGTTTAAAAAATTTTGTCGAGTTATGCATTTTCAGAAATTTTGACACTATTTTTTAAAAAATAGTAGGTAAACATTAATTTTAAATGATGCAATCAAAGAAACAAAGAAATAAAATATAACTTAATTATATAATATATAATATGTATACATATTATATATCTATGCTACTTAATTATTATATATATATCTATACATATTATATATATACTAGTAATTACTCGTGCCTGTGTTACTCTTAAAAAATGAACAAAAAATTCTCCAAAGCAACATCACATATACTTGCAATGTTATTTATTTTTTTATTTTTTTGGTGTAATTGGTATCACTTATTTTTTTTATTGGTGGTTAACTTGAGCTTTGTATTTTTATTTATTGGGAGAATATTTATATTTTTGTTTGGGTGGAAGTGGTGATAGTGATTAGATTGATTTTTAATTTTTTTCTTGGTTTCAATTGTTTTGTTTTTATAGGTCACTTGTTATTTTTTTTATTTTATACTTTTTGTTTGCGTGGAAGAATTGATAATTAGTTTGGATTTTATTATATAGATTTTTTATTTTTTTGGTGTAATTGGTATGAATTTTTTATTATTATTATTATTTGTGATTAGCTTGGGATTTGTGTTTTTATTTTTTGGGAGAATTGTTTTATTTTTATTGGTCACTTTTCATTTTATTTATTGGTGATGTGCTTGGGCTTTGTATTTTTATTTTTAGGGGGATTGTTTTGATTTTATTGGTCACTTTTTCTTTTTTTTGGAGCTTGGAGGAATTTTTTTTATTTTTTTATTTTGAGAACTATATGTATGCAAGTAATTTTTTTTTTTTGTATAAATAATAGCTTGAATGGTGAATTTTTGGATTAGATATTGGTAATTAGATTGAGTTTTATTTTGAGTCAACTTTTTCTACAGAAATTTAACTAACTTTTAAAAGCATGTGTAGAACTTGTTAATTTTTTTTATATTTAAGATTTTCTTATTCTATGAAATCATAGAAAAAAAATAAAATATTTTCTTATTTGGATACTAATTATGGTCTTGTTAAACATGCAAATCTTAAATAAATAAGCAATTAAAAATAGCAATACACATTTAACATATAATATAATGATAAATTCATGTCAAAGTATGCCCAACTAAACCAAGACAAAAATTAATTAAAAAGAACAAATATTTAATAATAATCACACAATAAATTTTTAATATGAATTAAAAAAAACAAATTCATTACCACTTACCTGGTGAAAAATAAAATTAGTATTTTGGTAATGTGTGGCTCTGTGAGAAAAAAGTAATTAAATTAACAAAAACAATTAATCAAAATATTATATACACCATAATTGAAATAGATTCAATTAAAATAGAAAGTAAATAAACAATAAAGAGAGTGCTTACAATTATCAAAAATTTAGAGAGAGAAGAAACCCAGAAATCAAAACACACACACACACAAAAATATTAGGCAGACACGAACCATGAACACACACAAAAAAAATCAAAACAGACAATGACACACACACACGTGAACACAAACACAGGCACACACATGAACCCATGAATACAGGATCAGAGCTATGGCCCCCTACTACCTCTATGGTCAGTGATTTTGGGTTTCAGTCATCGTCATCATCGTCTAGTCCAACAATAACCAATTTGGGCAATGAAAGTTCTAGTTACTTCCAAAAAGTTGGGTTTCCTGGTTTTGACTTGCCAGCCACTGATCTCTGTTCTATGAGTTACCGGGTATTATATTTAACTTAAGGACAAAGCTTCTTTTTTTTTTTTTTTTTTTTCTCTTAGTTTTGGCATTACCCTTGTCGCATCGACTGCCATCGGATATTATAATTAACTTGGCGATGAAGCTCCTTCTGCTGCTTTTTTTTTTTGTTTCCTGTAGTTTTGGCGTTACCACCCTTCTTGCACCGACTGGCCCTGGGTCTAATACTTAAGGGGAAACACTATATTACAATTTTTTTTTATTTTTGGTATCATTCTGTTCTTGGTCCCAAATGAGTCACATGTCTAAGTGTTATCACCTAATTCACGTACACATTCTGAAAAATTAAAAAAATAGGAATACAGACACACACACATGAACACACACATAAGAACACACTGGGAAACACATGTATACACACGCATGAACACAAACACAAGCACACACATGAACATAACACACACACATGAACACACAGGCACACACACACATGAACGCAAACACACACACAGTTAGAGAGAGAGAGAGAGAAAGAAAGAAAGAGAAGATCCACAGGGAGATACATAGACTCCTTGTAGTGGGTGGTTCAGTGAGTATTGGAGACGCAAGGTAGAGACATAGAAGAAGGGAGAAGGTGTTACTTCAGTATGATATGTATTGCAGTGAGGGGGAAAAGTTAGAGATAAGAGAAGGTAGCTTGTTTTTAAAAATGAGAGAGAGAGAGAGAGTTAGATGAGAGATAAGAAAGAGGAAAAGAGAGAGAGATAGTTGTTGGGTTGCTGGGTAAGATAAGGAGGGAGATTTAGATTAGAGATATGGGAGAGAGAGAGAGGTGCCAGGTGAGGATAACTTGAGAGATAAGGAAGAGAGAGAGGTGCAGGATGAGGAGAGTTGTTAGGAAAATAGAAGAGATGGTTTGTTGGGTTTTTAAAAATGGAAGAGATGATAGAAGAGATGGGTTACTGGTCTTG